TGGAAAAAGTTGATCAATGCACTCTTGTCTTGATACTCGTAATCCACATCGAAAGCCATTATGCGTAATACCTAAATGATCGCACCAAAATTTTCTCGCGTCAGTTCCAATATTTCTCGAACACTTATTTTATAAATCTCTGTAAATAATAACTTTCTTTTGACAAAAAGTCTAAGTTTAATAATGTCAGTCTTTCGTATAGAAACGTCAGATGACACCTGACAACAATCAGTATTGCTAAAACTTAAAATATTATACTGAAATAATGCTAATGGATACGCAAGTTGTTAGCAAGCACTTTCAGAGCTACAATATCAGTTCCACACAAAGTTTTTTTTCGATTGAGGGGAGTAACACGACAAACACATGTTACTGATAAGGGAACGCAATTTAGATCAACCGATTTTAAAAAATTTTGTGAGCTAAATAATGTCCAACACATAACAAGTGCACCATTTTATTTATCAACAAACGGTTTAGGTTAGAGGTTCTTCAGAACAGAGGTTTTGTACTTTAAAGAAGCGGTGACAAAAATACTAAAAGATACCGATAACAAAAACCTTGCTCTTTTAAAATATCTAGCAACGTTTAGAACAATACAAAATCCTATAACAGGTAAGTCACCTGCAGAGTTGTTACACGTTCGACAACCACGCACTCTGTTGTCAACATTGAAACTTAAGACTGATCAAGATATTGAAAAATTACCAAAATATACAAGGGATCAAAAAGGCTATGCTAGAAATTTGCAGGGAAGGACCGCTGATTTCAAAGCAGCATTATTCACCCATGCGGCCGAATGATGTGTGTTATAGCTACAAATACAGGTAACATACGCCGACAACAAAATCAGATAAGAGCAGTAATCAACTAGAAACCGATTTCGACTTCACATCAACCTCCCAACTTCCCAGATTGAGAGTTTGATATTATGACCCCCAAAGGAAATATATCAGATAATAGTGAGCCTATGGTTCCAAGTTAGGAAATAAGTAAGCAACTATAATTGCCTATGGTAAGACGTTCAGGATGAATTAGAAAGCCGGTTACACGTTGGCGAAATGACTATGAATTTTTAAAGTGGGAAAATGTAGTATTTTATTCAGATATAAAAAAGTATGTGAAGATGGAAACACTGACGTCACACTTTGACGTTTGGACTTCGTGTGTTGTGTGATTGATGGGATTAACTTAACTGTCCGAATTAGAGAATATTAATTGAACTTACTATTATTCTAAAAGATTGATATACTTAAACCTACCTATGATATATTTCTAAATACTTTTGTTATATATCAAATGTATTGCCGTATAGACTCAAACCAAATCGTTTTAAAAAAAATTGCAATACATGTTTCTTCTGCTGTAGTGCTTATTTAGATAAAAACTCAACATTTTTATATTGAAGTTTTGGATACATTATTTTGTACTTAAAGAACTTTTTACAGTCGTTTCCAAAATGTTCACTTTCCATTATCAAAACAGCAAAAAGGGATTAGTATCAATGCTAATGCCTAAATGGATGTTTGGAGTGAAACTTGAAAAAGTTGAATAAAAATACTTAACAAATTTATTAAAAATATGTCTGTGGTTGTGGTAAGTATATTATTGATGAAAAATATTAATTATAGTAATACACAATGGTGAAAAATAATTATTTATATCTGCAGAGAATGGTTTAGTAAACTTTGACTGACACATTTGTTGGTTCAGAAACGATTTATAACTACGCCTAGAGGTGTTTTAACTTTGCATTCCTTTTACAGGTTTGGAAAATATTTTGAAAATATTATATATTACATACCATCTGAAAAACTTAATTAAAGCTTCATATCTGGCCTGCAGTTATATAACCCGTAGGTTGTAAAATAAAATATTACACGAGTGCAAACACTCGACGTATTGTAAAAGTCAAATACAGAACTTTAAATGAAACCGTTTATTTATACTGTGTTTGGGTATTTGGATATACGCCCACAATAAAAGTTATTGAAATTAAAATTGTTAAAATTGTTATTGAAAATAGATACTTTTGATCATATGTTATATATCTACTATATATTGACTTTTTGCATCCAATTCCAAGTATGGAATGAAATCAACAACACATTTGTCCTCAGGAGGAGCTCCTCCTTTTTCCTATTCAGTCGCAGGTGAACACAATTTTTGAACAGAATTATGTTTCATCTGGCGGATGCGGCAAATCATCACACTAACTTCTCGTTCGCTAGCGCTGCTTTATGCCGCTTCATGCCGCTTCATGCCACTGCATGCCGCTTTATGCTGCGAACTTAACAACCGAACACACCGCAGCGCATCAATTCGCACTCAAATGATGCGGAAGCGAGCGCGTAAGCTTCGCCTGTCAAACATAAACGCTGCGCTATCATTTATTGTCTGCACCATTAGTTCTTCTAATGATCCGTTTAGATACAATTAAAAATATGATAATAAAAGCAAAAGATACGAGTATCAAAAGAAACGTAAGCGCTTACGAAAAATTACTCAAAATGAATGTTACTAACGCAAACGTATCATTTATCGATGAGAATATTGCACAGTAAAATCCGTACTTCACATTTTAATAATCTTAATAATTTTAATGGATTTCGAAATAATGAATACGTCGATAAAAAACCTGCTGCTATAAATCTCACGCACGATAAAATACAATTGAAATGCCTTTTGTCGGGGAACTTTTCGCACGCATGCATGGCGAATTATAGTATGCGCCTTTTGCCTTCAAAAGGCTTTCATTTCACATTTATAAAAATTTAATGATTGTGCGATGATGTTAACTCAAAATGCTTAGTATAAAGTATATTAAAGATACTTTTAAATTTAGTGCATTTATCACATTTTTTTTTATTTCTTTTTGTTATTTCTCAACAGACGGATATATGGTAGGTACTAGTGAGCACAATCTATTCTAGCCCACAAAAATTTTAAGTATTTAGTCACTTACTCTTAAATATTGTTCATTGTCTATTGCCTATCGCAATAAAAAAAACTAAATTAAAAACAAAAGTCATTTATTTGCATATTTATACGACTTTAGTTGTGACCTCATCCACTCTTACTTAATATGGTATAATAACGCTCTTAATAACAATAATATAATAAAGCGTTCAATATAATTCAGATGACTGTTTACATATAGTTTCACATCACATTTATTCAAAACATTTAGAAAGAATCCAAGTGAAGTAAAATAAGGTTATGTACCCTATACACAGGGTTCGTATTTGCTCACTCATGAGCAGCTCAGGCTCATGAGCAAGAGCCAATTCTTATGTGAGCCCAAAATTGGCTCATGAGTTTGAGCCCAAAATTGGCTCACATTGAAGAGCTGCTCATGAGTTCTCACGAGCCAAGAGCTCAAGAGCTCAACTGTTTAATAAAAAGCGATTTATTAATTTATTTGCTTTATTTACTTTTATAAACGTTATAACATATGTGAAAATACATTAAGACCGAAAAGTTTTCGGAAATTCTCATTTAAAATTCGCGCGCTGTATATTTTTCGATATTTTAAGTTTATGTAGTTTGGCAGAAATTAAGGACAATTACTATGCCAAAAATGAGCGCGATCTGTCAGACAGTTCGTTTACGGCAGCTGTTGAAACCAGTTCACCTCAGTAGGGCGTTGCGAAAAAAACAATGGAAAAAAATATTGAACAAAGAGTTTGCATCAAATTTTGTGTTTCGAACGAAATTTCGTGTGCAGAATCGTTGCGAATGCTACAAAAGGCTTATGGGGAATCAGTTTTATCGAAAACTCAAGTTTATGAGTGGTACAAAGCCTTCCAGGACGGTCGTACGACCGTCGAAGACATTTCGCAACGCACTACTGAGGTGAACTGGTTTCAACAGCTGCCGTAAACGAACTGTCTGACAGATCGAGCTCATTTTTGGCATAGTAATTAAGGACAGTGCTGCCAAACTACATAAACTTAAAATATCGAAAAATATACAGCGCGCGAATTTTAAATGAGAATTTCCGAAAACTTTTCAGTCTTAATGTATATAATTTCATATTAAAACAATATAATGAAACAATTATTTAAATTTGAAAAACAAATTTATAAAATATTATTATTTTCCACAAATAAACAATAAAAATATATTTATTGTTTATTTTAAGAACTTTGATTATTTCCATATTATAGTTAGTTCAAGATTATTAATATTTTAAATTTTTTATAATGACATGTTTTCACAAAAAAAAATAATAATAAAACCTTAAATTAAATTAATAATAAAACGCATGAGAATTCATGAGCCGCAGCTCATACTCTAGCTTACGAGCGTGAGCCCATTTATAACTTAATGGCGGCTCTTGCTCGTGAGCGTGAGCTCTGTAGTAGGGCTCGCTCCTGAGCGTGAGCCATCGTATGTAAGCCATCGTTTTTTGCCGGCTCATGAGCCGTGAGCTGAATGAGCCAAAATGAGCCGCTCATGGGTACGCAAATACGGACTCTGCCTATACGTAGTCATTGTGGTCCAATTGACCATTTTATCGAGAGCATTACGATAGTTAAAATTGATATCGAGCTTAAACACGAACTGTCTGTGACAGTGACGATAAGCCAGTGATAGTGACGATAAGCCAGTATAACTAAGTCATACTGATATTAAGTGTTATAGAAGCAGTTATTCAAAATAGTTATCTTTACAACGATCTGTGGTCTAATAAATATGTAAAAGTATGCGAAATAGACTATTACTTTTCAAGACATTCCATTCTTTGTCTAAAATTTACTAAAGATATTATATGAAATACTATTAGATCCTCAAACCATGCATTACTACCAAAACTTTTAAAAATTTGCTTAAAATTTAATATGATTATCATACAGAATACTTTTCCGAACTGAAAAACTTTTCTGTGAACTGTCAATAGGTCTTTGTGAAAGATATAAACTTTAACTATACTTTAATATAATCCTAAATAATTTTTTATTTTAAAGTTGATTTTAATATAAAAAACAATTTTCTTTTTTAGCACAAACACATAAGTTAAACCCTTTTATTTCATTCTTTCGCTCATTAACAATAAGATTTCTGACACATTAACTGGAAAATAAACAAAAATTAGTATTACTCTATATATATACATATATATATATATATATTAGATACATAACACAATATATATGTATGTGCGTGCAAAAATATAAAATATTAAATATATATTGTTGGTATCCTTAAGATGAATTACATTTACGATTCAAAGCATCAGTCCCTGCTATAGCTAAGGCATGACGGCATACCATGTTATTTATCCGCTTGTCTTCACAGTTGAGCACTAATTTATAGCATCAAGAATCTCTGCAATTGTAAAAACAGATGAAAAATACTATAATATCAGAAATTCCAATTATAATAATAGATCAGTGGAGTTACCAGGATTGTGCTAAAGGGGCGAGGTGACATACTAAAAGTTTTTTTTTGACAGTATTTTTGCAGCTATTAAAACAATATAATTATAATAAATTTAATTCGCTATTTGGTTTATATACCCATATCATGATGAAAGATTGGTCCTGTCCTTCCATTTCATCCCAGTCTGTATACGCTACTATGCAAGATTTCTAGTATCCTTCACTAAATCAGAATGATATAAAATAACAAATAGCATAAATATTTTTAGTAGAACTAACTATATATCCTATACCAAATCTTACAATATATAAACATCTTTATTTTTCCATCACATCAGTGATCCATTATTTCTTGGTAATGTTTTCCATAACGTCAAAGTAATTATTACATGAACATATCCCAGAGGATGTCCATTTCTCACATACAAGGCATTATACTCACGAATACAATGTTTGCATTTTCTGGAATCAGCGTTAAACAATTTTCGAAACCATTGTGCGTATTCGAAAACATCTTTAAAACACATTTTCGTGATATTTGCCATTGGCACATGTTTGTCTATTCCCAATTCCTCAAAAAAGACCTCTTCACGTGAAATGCTTTATACACTATCCCATCATATCCCAGGGAAAGTCCATTTCTCTCATACAAGACATTATACTCACGAATACAATGTTTGCATTTTCTGGAATTGGCGTTAAACAATTTTCGAAACCATTGTGCGTATTCGAAAATATCTTTAAAACACATTTTCGTGATATTTGCCACTGAAACATGTTTGTCTATTCCCAAGTCCTCAGAAAAGGCCTCTTCACGTGAAATGCTTTATACACTATCCCATCATATCCCAGGGGAAGTCCATTTCTCTCATACAAGGCATTATATTCTCGAATACAGTGTTTGCATTTTCTGGAATTGGCTTTGAATAATTTTCGAAACCCTTGTGCGTATTCGAAAATATCTTTGAAATGCATTTTTGTGATATTTGCCACTGAAACATGTTTGTCTATTCCCAAGTCCTCAGAAAAGGCCTCTTCACGTGAAATGCTTTATACACTATCCCATCATATCCCAGGGGAAGTCCATTTCTCTCATACAAGGCATTATATTCTCGAATACAGTGTTTGCATTTTCTGGAATTGGCTTTGAATAATTTTCGAAACCCTTGTGCGTATTCGAAAATATCTTTGAAATGCATTTTTGTGATATTTGCCACTGAAACATGTTTGTCTATTCCCAAGTCCTCAGAAAAGGCCTCTTCACGTGAAATGCTTTATACACTATCCCATCATATCCCAGGGGAAGTCCATTTCTCTCATACAAGGCATTATATTCACGAATACAATGTTTGCATTTTCTGGAATTGGCTTTGAATAATTTTCGAAACTATTGTGCGTATTCGAAAATATCTTTGAAATGCATTTTCGTGATATTTACCACTGAAACATGTTTGTCTATTCCCAATTCCTCAAAAAAGGCCTCTTCACGTGAAATGCTTTATACACCATCCCATCATATCCCAGGGGAAGTCCATTTCTCACATACAAGGCATTATACTCACAAATACAATGTTTGCATTTTCTGGAATTGGCGTTAAACAATTTGCGAAACCACTGCGCGTATTCGAAAATATCTTTGAAATGCATTTTCGTGATATTTACCACAGACACATGTTTGTCTATTCCCAAGTCCTCAGAAAAGGCCTCTTCACGTGAAATGCTTTATACACTGTCCCATCATATCCCAGGGGAAGTCCATTTCTCACATACAAGGCATTATACTCACAAATACAATGTTTGCATTTTCTGGAATTGGCGTTAAACAATTTGCGAAACCACTGCGCGTATTCGAAAATATCTTTGAAATGCATTTTCGTGATATTTACCACAGACACATGTTTGTCTATTCCCAAGTCCTCAGAAAAGGCCTCTTCACGTGAAATGCTTTATACACTATCCCATCATATCCCAGGGGAAGTCCATTTCTCTCATACAAGGCATTATATTCACGAATACAATGTTTGCATTTTCTGGAATTGGCTTTGAATAATTTTCGAAACTATTGTGCGTATTCGAAAATATCTTTGAAATGCATTTTCGTGATATTTACCACTGAAACATGTTTGTCTATTCCCAATTCCTCAGAAAAGGCCTCTTCACGTGAAATGCTTTATACACCATCCCATCAAATCCCAGGGGAAGTCCATTTCTCTCATACAAGGCATTATATTCACGAATACAGTGTTTGCGATGTCTAGCATTGGCGTCAAAAAATTTGCGAAACCACTGTGCGAATTCGAAATTATCTTTGAAACGCATTTTCAGAATATTTTCCACCGGCACATATTTAGTGACACCTAACTTTTCGAAACAGGCTTGCAGCAACTTGAAATTGTATAGAAAATGAACCGGACAACAAGTGTAGAAATGAACTTTACTTAGCTTTATGACATTCGGAAAGAGCATGTTCATTAACTGGCAATAGACGGCACCGGTACCTAGATGCTCGATGCACTTGAAGTCCGCAATCAGTGTTTTATTGATCCATTGTAACAACTTATAATACGATATTCTTTTAGCGGAGCTTGCAGTGGAAGTGACGTTGATGGCTTTGGGTTTAATTTTAAACATCTTTCCAATAATTGCACAACGAATTTGAAAAAATTTTTTTTGAAATTCGTTCAAAAAAAATGATTAACTACAACATTTGACAAAAGAAAAAAAAATCGAAAGAGTTTAACTAGAAAATTTTGCACTCGAAAGGGTGAATTAAAATTGAAACTTAATTTGGAACTCAAAAAATTACAACACAAAAAAATATAAAAAATATGCTGAAGTAAATATTTTTCATTTTATGTTCGAAAAACCATGTATACTTTGTTAAAAATAATTCTTCTTAAAATATTAAAGTATTTATTAACGTTTATTTTTATTTTGTTTTTTTTGTTCGTTTGCAGACAATCATAAGGGAAATGAATCGTCTGGGAATGATGGTGGACTTATCGCACGTTTCCACAGGCACAATGCGGCATGCCTTGGAAGTGAGTGAAGCACCTGTTATATTCTCTCATTCATCTGCATATGAGCTGTGCAATTCAAGCCGGAATGTACAAGATGACATGCTTAAATCTTTGGCCAAAAATGGCGGTCTTATCATGGTTAACTTTTATTCGAAATTTTTATCCTGCAGCGAAAACTCTACGGTGCATGATGCAGTTGGTAAGTTAATTGAATAAAATTGAAAACTTGCATCGAGTATATACGAGAAACTTCATAGACAGACACAAAATTTTCAATAAGACATCAATCAAATAAATGAGAATTTTGAATATTTAAAGAGAAACTTTCGCCATTGTTTTTCTTGAAATTAATGATGGCTACGTGGCTGACACAGCTGCAATTCCGTTGCAATCATCCAAAAACTTTTTATTTTTTTTTTTTTTTATTTTGACAACATAATGACAGCATCAAATTTCTTCTCTTTTGAAGTTTCTTGCAAATATTTTTTCAAAGATTTTATCGAATATATTTTTAAATATTTTTAAAATTAAATAATTACATAGGAAAAAACCTATGCGAAGTCTTTGCCTTCTTCTCCCAACTTCTCATAATAAAAATAAATAATATTTTTTATGCGCCAAATCAATTGATTTGGTAGTCAGCCAAATAAGAGTTAAGAGAATATTTTCTATAAAAAGAAAATAATTTGTATATAATAATATTAAATATAAATACATAATATTCTTGAACTCGCCATAACATTTAATATATATTTACGATGATTATTCGCAGCTCATATAAATCACATAAGACGCGTTGCTGGCATTGAACATGTGGGTCTCGGCGCTGGATATGATGGCATCAATTTGTAAGTAAAAGCTAGTAAGAGCGTTATCTTCGGCATATGCCGAAGTTTAATTTTTCCGCACACATATTACCAATATTAATGCCACGCCCCTTTTCAACCTATTGCATATATAAAAATTTTACAATTTTATTACTGAAATCTATTATTATTATTAAGCCTTGCTTGACGTCACATGTCACATGATTACAAGCTGCTTCTATACTGGGCATAGACTATCTACAAATTGTTTCCATGTTTGCTTTCTTACTGCCAAGGTGTTTGGATTGGCTGTTAATTTCGTTCTTAACGTTCCATGTTCCAAATCGCCGATTTATTTTTATTATTCCAAATAGGCCGATTTATTCTTCTTGTAGACATTCTGGTGATAAAAAGGTTTTCGGGTACAACAGATTATCGATCTATCGCACCTTAGCCTGATGCTGGACAATAGACAATTTTAACATGGCGAAAAGCACGCCGTTACGGAATTTATTCGCAGACAAATTCGTACACCCTCGGCTTTTGCATTTTCTCTGTCTCAGCTCGTCGTCGATAAGCAGTGTTAATAGTCCCCCCATGAGAAGGTTTATCGACCAACTTGTTGAGAAGAAGCTAGGTGATAGTATATTGCGCTATCCATATTTTACTTCCGGAAACACTCAATCGCTCGTGGAACCAACTGAAATCTAAGTATTTTTAAAATGTTTTTGTAAAAATTAATTCAACTAAAAAAAATATTTTTTACAATCGTTATAATCTTATAATTCTTATAATCCTTATAAATTAATATAATACTAGTACAACAAAATTAATTATTCAACTTTTCTATACAGTAATTAAACACTTCAGAGAGACACTTTATTTTCTTCCTATTGCTTGAGATTATAAATCTTTCATTTTCTCATTATAATTTTTAATTGAATGTAATTCAAAATTTTATATGCCAATTTGCAACACTTTAATCTTCAAGGATATTTAAATATTTACATGTATGAAGATAATCTGATACTTTCAATAATTGACACTTCTGCCAATTTAACACTACAGCTTGGAATTTTAAGTACCACTTCAGTGCCTAATAACATTTAAGCGTTATTTTACGTAAGTGTGAACTGCAAAACTAGGACTAAATCCATAATAAAACATATTGTTTCTAGTATTGCAATTCATCTGAAGGATTTCTTCTATGCTACGAGGAATAACTAGGAACCGCAACAAGAGGATTTAACTAGAATTATTTTTTTATTCAACTCGAACAGTTTATTAATTTTATTTAAATAAATAAAATCTATTTAAATTTGATTTTTAACCAAAAAACCCCGAAAGAAACCATTTTTGTTAATAGAAACTATAATTTTAATAGAGCAGAATTTTGAACAGTAGTGAATTACAACAACAAAAATTTTTTATTATTTATTAATTAACTGAATTTTTATCTGACCTCACAGCTGTTTAAAGTATTGCCAAATGACTACCATGAGTGATCTTTTGGAAATATTTCTAGTATTGTATTAAATTATTCATTAATAATTTTTTGAGACTGCAAGTACCAAGGGTTGAATTAGTGCCCTGCCTAATTTAAAGCACAGAGTCAGTGTTCATTATCTAACTTACCCAAAGCCATATTTGGCGTGTATAATCTAACTTTTGTTTTGTTAATTTACTGTCAATAGTTTTATTAACAATTTCACTTAATGATTTATATTAGAACGAAATTATAAACCAACTATAAACTAATTACATTAATTAATTTTTTTTCTTTGTATTAAATAATAATAAATTTTTGATGTTGTAATTAATTACTGTTTGAAATATCTCTCTATTCATCAATTTAATCTGTAGTGATAGATGTATAATGTATTTTCGTTTAACATTTTTCCTATGGGTGGTTGACTAGTTCTCCGCTAACCTCCGCTAAATATTTTAATAGATCTTTTATCCTTACCGATGAACAGTCAAAAAAATACTTCCCTAAATAAGCATTTCTTAGGTGAATAGTTTCTTTTTCCTGTAAGTTTCCACAAATTTTACAATGAGTATTAAAATGAATTTCCAGCTTCTCTGCTTGAAGTTCTATTCACCAGTGACCAAAGAGAACTGCAGTAAGCATGACAGTGTTCATGTAGACAGTGTTCATGTAGCCCCTTTAGTTAGTTCTCAAGATCCTGTTTTGATATAACAGCGCCATGTTAACCGGAAAATTACACATGATCATGCTATTATTTACTAATGGCAAGCTGCTTTTTTAATCAGCTTTTATGTTAGTCAGTAACCCCTGTACACCTAGATTTATCTATGATTATAAATATATAGTCATTTACTTATATTGCTATGGAATGTAGCACTGATACTGTCGAGTATATTGTGCCCTCTTCTGAGATTAAAATAAGTCGCTAAGCGCTGTGTCGTCGATAAAAGATAGTATAGAACCTACATTACAGAGTTGTATTACTTCTTCCATTAGGGTATATATGCCCAGGAGTCTATTCCGTAATTGCATCAGCACAGGGCATTCTCACAGCACATGTGCGTCTGACTCTGCATTTTCTTTGCATAATCTACAGTTTTCATCCGTATATATACCCAGTCTCGTAAGATGGTATTTCAGTTTACAATGCCCTATTAAAATTCTTGTAATAATTCTAAGTTTTTCTTTTGACAGCTTCGTACAATCCTGGTATCTCCTATTGTTATAGCTATCAATAAGTGATTTGGATTGTTTTGATCCTGGTAATCTACACTTATCTTTTGGAAATTCAGTTTGAAGCTATGACGGGTGTGCATTTTTTTGAAATAGCTGAAAGTATACCCCAAAACTTCTACTCTGTTTGCTACAGATACATGATTACCAATATTTTTCTTTTGTGAATAAATTTAAAGATATGAATATGGAAATTTCAACAGAATGGTGCCAGAGATCAAACAAAATGTCTTGTTCTTGCTTTGTCTTGCTTGAGAAATTTGCCGAACTCTTGATTTAATATATGAATTAAACGGGAACGTCCCAGGAGTCGTCACAATTGAATTTTTTTTTTTTTGTGACGTTACTTTAAAATAAATTTATTATATTTTACAAAAACGATCGTCTACATAAAAACAATATCTTTTGAAAGACAAAACAACTGAATAAAAAAGCGTTCTAAATATATTTTCAAAATAATAATAATTTTGTATTTGTTGTTAAAGTACTATAATTTTATTTATATATTTGTCAGTCGAAACTAAAGAACTGCCATAAATGATTTTTTCACATTTTCTTAACATCACTGTTAAGATAAGGAGTAAAGATAAGGAAACTGCTTTTCTAGCTGACCTGGCAAAGCTGTCAGTCTTTTAGATTAGAAATTTAACTAAATACCAGATCGCTTTTCTTCTTCTGAAGTGGGAAAGTCGCGGTTTCTCAAAAAGAAATTTTCGTGCGATAGATGCTTTGAGCTGCTGCATATAAGTTAGTTCTTTAAGTCGGGCATAAGGGCAGTATCACCTCCATGGTATCACAACATATCATTATCTCTATTCAAATGAGCTTTGGTACACAATGCTACTATTTTAACCTTATCTTACCTAACGTGAAAGTTTAAAGGATTTTATAGATATTATATATTCCCACATTGGGGTCTCTTTCAGCAAGAGCTGAATGCAATATTGAACTTCATAGTTTAGTGCTTTAAAAACTTTACCACTCATAAACTTGTATTTAATATTATTAATTCTCATATGAACTATATCGAGTTTATTTGTGATATATCATTCATGATGCTAAAAGAAAGGGGTTGTGGCTGTAATAAGGTAGGTGTGTGTATGGATACTATTTTCTTCGGCAATTATAGTTTGGGGTCGAAGATAACACTCTAACTATTAAATATCAAGATATAAGTAATGTTTAAATATGGATTTCATTTGTGAAACTCAATTTTCTTATAAATTTCTAATATTATTAACTACGATTGAAATTTCGCCACCCTCTTGTCCGAAATGTACTCTAAGATATAGTATTGAAAATCCGGCTGGTATTAAAATATTTATATATCTTTAAAAACAATGTAATATACTGGTATTAATGTGTTCTTGATATTAAATTAATAGCCCATAAGCAAGACTTCAGTAATAAAATTGAAGAAAATTTTCCTATTATTAACAAATCAATTTTTTCATATTATGTGGCATTACTAATGGTACTTTTCAATATAAGTATTCAAAAAAGGATAAAAATTATCAAATATTTGGCTCTTACTAGTTTTTAAATTTAATATTATTTAAAGTTATTTCTTATAGAATAAAAAATATTTTGTAAATAGAAGTCATCACATATTTACGCCTTTTTTTTATATAAAAATTTCAACTTTTCTTTTATATTTAACAATATTTGTCGAAAAACAAAGTATCTGAACCAATCTCGTGCGCAACCGATTAAATCCCTCTTTGGGCTGCATAGCTATACAGACTTATATTCCGTATTCGTATTGGAGATATCTGATTCACTACACAAATGAACCAATATTCATTAGGTGCTTCATTTTTTTGGGAGCTTTTCTGACTCCAGAATCTTCCTCTAAGGCGCATTGGAACTTTTGACAAAAATTTCAGTTGGTTTTTAAACAACTGAGTTCTTACACAGTCAAATAATAAGCCAATAGGCCTAAGCGATTTCTTAGGATCGTTCATATAACCTAACCTAATATACTTATGTAGTCTTATATTTTATATAACAGAATGTATTTCTCATACAAATTGTTTCTGTTTGATCCGATTCATAAAGTCTGGATCTCATCTCAGTTATCGCATCGAACTAAAATACGAATATTTAACTCCAACATAAAATCTTGCCTTCTATATGGATGCCAATCCTGGAATACTACGGAAAACAGCACCGATGCACTACAAGTTTTTGTAAATCAGTCATTACGCAAAATTGTTTAACTATTTTGGCGAAATATAATTTCAAACAACGATCATCTATGGTCTCTAACTCAGCAAACACCTATGAGAAACGAAATTAAAAAGTGCAAATGGGAATGGAT